GTAAGACCTTTAAACAATAAGGCATAGAAGTGGAGAACTGTTACGAGATAGTTAGATAATCTTTTGCTCTGTAGCAAAGTTCCTACTGGGAAGTAAAGTTTGCTATCGGGCCAAAGATTACCCGACCGTTCACGAGTGCAAGCCACTAGGGGTTGGTTAGATAGTCTTTGACTCTATAGCAAAGTTCTTAATGGGAAGTGAAGCTTGCTATCGAACCAAAGATTATCCAACCATTCACTAGTGGAATCTTCAAAGGAGCAAGACTTCCAGTCTTCAAATTCGTATTCTTCGCATTCGAACACTGGGGGGAATGATATGAGAATATGGCAACATGACTGCCACATCAACCGGACTACGAAATCTAGGAACAAAGTTTTATCATCGAGATCGGGGACTGCGCGGCCAGCCCCGTGGAAACAAGTTGTACAAGTTAGCCATAAGTAATGGTAATTTATTTTTAGCACAACAAATGCTTATGTACTTTTTAAAATAGAAGGAATAAAGTAAAGTCCTTTTATTTTTATCTTGTTTCTTGTCCGAACGATGAATTAATTTTATTATTTAAAAGTTAAACAAGTACTTCAAATGCTAGTGCCGTAATGAACAAGAGACGTACTCTTCAAGAGCACCATAAACATAAGAGGGCCCTCTCTTATGAAACCCTCAAGGTAAAGGGTTGATTCCAGAAGAACTTATGCCCAGAATCTAAAAGCTATCGGGGAAAAATGCACCTGAAGCCTTGCATAATTCGACACAAAGAGAAAAACTTGCGCAATACTTAACCGAAAAAAAATTCTATATACAACAAACGTGCCAAGCAGCATAAGTACAAAAGTATGGAAAAGAAAAGCAAAGTGAAAAGAAAGCAAAAGGCTAAGCTACTGCATCCTCGGAATCCGGGGAAAGAGAAACATTTGCACCCCCAAGAGAAGTAGGCGGATCCACCGTCGGCTCAAGATCTTGGCCTTCACCATCTTGATCTTCATCATCATCCCTTTCAGGTTCTTCTTCAGTTCCTGAGAACTCGAAACCGAAACCAGAATAATCAGTATCATCAGGTTGGACCGGGAGACCCCTTCGAGCAGTTGATTCCAGCTCAGGGGCCTTGGCGATTTCGACATCAAAGTTAATGACGCCCGCTTTGGCCTCTTCCAAGGTATTTCTCCTCATGCTATACATAGAATATATTTTTTAAATAATGAGGGAAGCCGCTCGACGCTGAAGTTCTTCCTTAAGATGGTCAACCTCGGTCGAAAGGCTATTCCGCTTAGATCTAGCATCCTGAAGGTTGACATCAAGGTCACGGATAATGGTGTTATAAACTTTGTTATGATCTATGACTCTCTTATGCCTCTCTTCCAACCGGGCATGCTTCTCCTCAGTAGCAACAACCTCTTCAGCTTTGGAGTTCAAGGCTGCCTCCAAATTATTCAGTCTTTCAGTAGAGGCAGCCTCGCGATCGGCAACAGCAAAAATGACATTCTGGACCTCAACCCACTTTGCCTTAGATTCCTTAAATTGTACCCTTAACAAGGCAGCCTCTTCAGCTTTGGAGTTCAAGGCTGCCTCCAAATTATTCAGTCTTTTAGTAGAGGCAGCCTCGCAATCGGTAGCAGCAAGAACGACATTCTGGACCTCAACCCACTTTGCCTTCGCTTCCTCAAATTGTACCCTTAACAGGGCAGCCTATTGGCTGAGGGTCACTACCTCTTGCTCGCTTTACTACAATCGAGCCTCCAACTCAATGGCCTCAGCAGGTTGTGCTTCCAGTTCTGGGAGGCAAGCAACAATTTGATCTCGCTCAACCAACAATTGATTCCGCTCGGAGGTGAGTTTTTCTTTATCAAGGATCAACCTCTGAAGGTCCTCGGAATCAAGGAAGTTAGCCTGCAAAACAAAAGTACAAATTAAAAACCCTGCCATAACAAATATAGAAGGAACAATAGAGGGAACAAATATCGTACCGCCGCTACGTTGTGCATGGAATTATTCACCATACACTCTCCCGGGAGAGACTATATTTTATTCCTATCCTTCTCTGAAGCCAGAGGCTTCAGATAATTAGCAAGTTCCACCGGTCGGGACAGCAGATGGCATTCGGTAAAAACCGAGAGGGAAACACTCCTCCTCCTTCTCTAAGGATCTTCGGAAGGGGCAGAGTAGTTATGTCCCAAATTCCCATGAACTGGGGACTAGGGAAGAGGGACATCCTCCTCTCGGATGGCTGCGGCCGGTGGAGATGATGTAGCAGTTGCTGGTGGCAAAGGTAAAGTTGGAAAAAAGGGAGATGAAGCTGATGACGTTATAGGTTAAGAAGTAGTTGCGACATAAACAGTGCTAGTTGTGGGTTGCTTATCAACCGAAGACAGAAGAGACCCAGTATCCAGCCTCACAGTACCGAGAACAACGACTGGACGAGAGTTGGCATCTTCTACTATATCACATTCCCCCACAGCGTCTGGACGTCATCCTTGGTTGGTGTAACTAGCTTAACAGATTGAGAATTCTGTTAAGCTGATAAATGTCGTCATCTTCTATGTAGAGAAGCCCCCTCATCACTGGCTCCTCCATCATCATCAATCACCACAGTGTCTGCGGCTGGCTCAAGCGCGGCGTTCTTCGCCTTTTTATTTTTGCCCTCGGTCGTGGAGGAACGTCACATTTTTGGTTGCTTGTTCTCCGGTCGGGGAATCCGAGAGAAAGCACTTGCACAGGAAGCAGGCCCAATGATACCCATTCGAGTGAAAGCCTCCTGCAGCAACCTCGCCACATCAATAGGATCAGCCAAAACGTCCTCCTCGGGGACGGTAACAGAGCCCTGCGGAAGACCTGAATTCAACAAGAAAGAAAAGTTAACTAGTTTTCATATACGTAAGGTAAAAACAAGATAAGTTCAACCTACCATGATTTTTGGCCTTCCACCCATATTTAAGGGCCAATTCTTTCCCCCGACGGGTCTCATGCATAGTGACGTCCACAATCTTCTGGACCCACTGGTCCAAGCCTTCAACCCTTGGTGGTGTCCACCGAGTTGCTGAAATAGTAAAATGAGAAGGATCAGTAATAACATGGGACAATCTTTAAAGAAAAGACAGACGCTGAACTTACGAGTACGGTTGCGTGATTCAGGAAAATGGAGTTGTGGTCGGGATAATATCCCTGGTGGCAATTGCAATGAACCACTCCATCCATCCTCAGCCATTGCCATGCCGGTAAGCAAAGCATGGTGAGCACGTTTGCTGAAGTTTATCATTTCCTCACGAAAAATCTTAGGAGAATAAAGGTTCATCAGTCGAGCCAGTGATAGATTTTCCCCCGTCTCCTGGAATAGACGACGGAGACATGCGACTGTCTGCCATACAGAACAGCTCATCTATGCCAAGCAGACTTGGTAACGAAAGCAAAACTCCAAGATAACGGAATCAAGTCCCCCGCTCAATGAGAACGAGCCCAAAGCTAAGGGGTACGTGTAAACATATGTGAAACCCTTCTTAGAGAAGGTTACCCGCTCCGCTAGGTCAGGAGCGATGATGTTCAAATCTTGACAACCACAGTCTTCCTTCACAGCAGCGATGCTAGAAGGACGGATGGAAGAAGGATACACACCAATATCCCATGTGCGGGGGTTAGCAGAAGGGTACTTCTCTTCGAAGTCATTAGTTGTAGTAAGCCTTCTGGGATAATGGTGCTACCGTAGGATGAGCATCATCATTAGTGTTTTCTTTGTTCTTTGAAGAACTGAAATTTTTGGAAGAGGAGGCCATAGTTATCAAAAAGAAGTAAGGTTTCTTTCTGAAAAAAAAAGATTAAATGAAGTTGAAAACAAGTGTGACTTGAGTAAAGAAAGTTTGAGAGACTTTAGAAAATTATGAAGTGTAAAAGAAGAAGGTTAAAGCGTATAAGTAAAGGAATATACAGCTAAAATCGTGGCCATGATAACCTCGAGAACCGGTGAAAGTGTTGTTGAATCGTGGGATGACGCGTGTTCGGGACATTAAATATAGAGAGACGTGCGTCTCATCAGAAACTTTTCAGAGGGGGTCAGAGAATTTTCTGCTAAGAAAGGTATTGGTATCTTCACCAACTTTCCGGTAACACAAGGATGTGCCACCGGAAAGCGGGGGGACTATCTGTATAGGGTAAAATATGTTAATATTAAATGCTCGTATAATAAAGTGATGCATGGAGTCGAAGGCAGATGGAAAGCGAGACAAATGGCAATCAAGTCCGAGGGCAGCAATCTCGTTTGTTCCCGAAGGGAACAGCTCATAAAGACAAAATAAATGCATGTCACCTTGTAACATTTAATAGAGAATATTCTATAACATTAAGTATGTAGCCTGTTACAGATAATATGGCATTCATAGCCTGTCATTACACATTCTTTAATGGCCCCCATAATTGTCATTTAAGAGGGATTTGATCCTGGGACCTTGTTCCCTAGAAGCAACTATAAATAGTGAGTTCAACAACCATTGTAAGATACACGAATTTTCTGACAAACTTATGCTATATACTGTTCAAAGCTCAATAATATTTTATCTTCTTGCTTATTAATATCGTTACTACTGCCTCCGGAAGCTATGCTCCCGGAATCAGGATTTCTGTGGTCTTATCTCGATTTCAACGTTAAGTTTTACATTCTTGTTTAATTTATTTATCATTTTGGGATCAAATCAATTCACTTGTCTATAAAATACGTATAAATTAAACTGTACCATTTTATGGGTAAACACAAATAAAGTTTCTTTGACCATATTTTTTAAATACTTTTTAAATATTTTGAATTGTTAACTATTGTAAAATTGGCAAAGGTGACTCTCTAAACTTTAAAAGGAAAAAAAAGAAAAAGAAAAAGGCTAACCAGCAACGATAGGTTTTAACACATATTTTGATTTCACTAGAACTAGAATTCAGACTACAAATGTTTTGATTTTATAAACAAATTTATTTTTTGTTAAGAATAACAAGATTATTTAATTTAATTTAATAATCACCAACAGAGAGTAAAAATCACCTCTCTTTTTCCGCTTTAAATCACCTCTTTAGCACTCAAAAGAGCTTTCATGCGAAAAATGCAGAGTTCAGTGGACACTGAAAAACCCATTTCAAGTGGATCCAAATCCGGGTCAAACTCGGCCGACCTCTTGGTGGGTCAAAGGGTCCATTTCGCCGGAGATACCCGTCGGATTGGAACAGTGAAGTACGTGGGAGGAGTAGAAGGCTATGAGGGAAAGTGGGTCGGTGTTGATTGGGATAATGGAGATGGCAAGCACGATGGATCACATAATGGGGTTCGCTATTTCGAAGCTCAAGGCCCAAAAACGGCGTCGTTTGTTCGACATCACAATCTTAGCTCCGGGATACCACTCTTGAAGGCCCTTGAGATTAGATATCATGGAGAATCCACTAAAGAAGAAGAAGGTAATAGTTGATATTTGTTGTCAGTTTTTTGGTGGTTTCTTGTGCTTAGTGAAGACTCTTGTTTTCTCTAGAGGGTGATCTGTTTTGGTGCTTGATGAAAATGGAATTGTAGAAGTAGTATGCTAGGGGTCGTTTGGTTTAGAGACAAGTTATAAAGGGAATAATAATGGATAGATTGTAATACATACATTCCTGCATAACTTATGCATGTACTTATTTATGTTAGCAGCAAAAATGACGACCAAACAATGTGTAAGGAAGGCTGAATTTTGTGCGGGTATTATCACCCCTTATGCTTGAAATCAAACGGGCACTAACTTTATTGTGTTCTTTGTTCTCAATGTGTTTCACATGTGTATTTTATTTTATCTTCCTGGTTATTTTTAGTAAATAAAATGCATTTCTTATAAACAAATAAGTAAGATGCGTTAAGACTAGTTTTGGCAAAATAGAACTTATGAGCTGAAAGATATGTGATTTAACCATGTTAAGTAAGGAATACAAAATGTCTGAATAAACAACTAAAATAGCTCCGTCAAAGTGAAAAAGCCAGCCAATAGCATTGTGTAGTTTCAGAAACCATAGGAGCTAGGAAGTCACTCTGGTGGTATCTCGATTGTACCTACTAAATGAAGCATGGGTTGTTCGTTTCTTGGGATGTTCAATGATGGGTTCTATTTGGCTCCATCTTTTACCGTAATTTTGCGATTATTTCCTAGCTTGTGGAACAAAGACATCGTTCCTTGAACAGTTATATACTTCTTTAATCTTTTCCTTTTGCATAATGTTTCAGATGAGATGTATGTTCTTTCTGCGACAAACAAACGGGTATCTATTCAGCTGCTGGGTAAAGATAAAATTCAAAACAAGCTGAGTCGGTTTGAGGAGTTGACAAGTGCTTCACTTGCTTATTTTGGGGTTAGCTCAGCTGGACCCCAAGGGCATATCAATACCACTATACCAAGTAATTATGTGCTTCTCCACTTGCCTAGTTTTTCCTAACTGTACATGATTGTTCCTTCATATATTAAAGTTTTGATGTGTCATTCTCCTACTTGTGCTTTACTTTCATTTTCTGTTAACTGAAGTATTTGACTTTAATTATGAGGTAGATTATGAAATTTCTTATCTTCTGTTGTATCCTAGTTCAGTAGTTTGATTACCGATTTATTAAAGTTTGGCCAGGAAAGAAGATTATGAGTTTGCAATCTTTTATTTTCTGAAGTTGTTCTCCTGTTAACTTTCACATCTATAGTTGGCTGTCCATCTTCTAGAAAGCTTCTTACTTACAAGTTGTCCAAATTGAGTGTCCATGTTTGATTGATACAATCATTAAAAATAAGAGTTCCCTGCAAAGTATGATGTGTCAATATCAATATATATATGGGAAAGTAGTTCCATGTTTAAATAATGAGAGTTGAAATTGCATATTCTTGAATATATGCCGCGTATTAAGGATAGAAAAGGGATAAAGAACTTAGAGAAATGTAGAAGATGGACCAACACATCCTTGACTATTATGTAAAGTATTGTGAAATTTTCTTTAGGAAAACGGACATTTTTGGGACGGAACAAAGATGAAAAGTCGATGTTTGATTGGGGTGAACGAAGTAATAGATGATAGTAGTTGGGTTCTTTTTATTTACATGACGGTGATTAGCCGGACCAGCTTGCGCTCACATATACTAATCCATCGAGGGCCTGCTACAACATCCAAGCCTGCTACAATGTACAAGCATAGATGTCGAGTAAACCTATGCACCAAGGTTAGAGCTGATTTGTTCACACTGTCCTGTAGATGGAATTTGAACTTAGGATCTCGTGTTTGTTTCTTCTATGCCTCAATAACTGAACTATCCCATTGAGGACAAGGAAGCTTGTTTTTGCATTTGTAGTTGAGTAATATTCATTTGCAGAGTATCATTATTTGATTAATTTCCATACTTCTGGCATTCTTTTTCCTCAAGTGCTTTAAAAATATATGAGAACATTGCGGATGAATAAAGTGAGTCCTGCTAAGGCTAAAGGTTGGGTTGGGTGATCAAGGATAAGACAGTAGAGAGTTGAACGGTTGAAAGAACTAGGGACTAGGATTGCCTCATGCTGATCAGTTGTGTTTGGGGTTTTGGGTGTCCATGGAAGTAGGTATTAGTGATATAAAGGTTTGGGAATTAGTAGAACATGGCTTTAAAGCAATTTCGAAGGAAAGACTACAGAGCGCCAAGCGGCTGAAAACTTAAGCAATATGACCAAGAAACTTATGTTACACTGAACTTTTCTTGTTTTATTATCTGAAGATGGGAATGCAACCAAACATATTCAGGTTATGGTTGCAATATTGAGGTAAGTAGTCTTGCTTACCTGGGTAGTTATTTGCCTTACATATTTTGAAGTTGTTAAGTCTACAACCTACCTTAGAAGTCCATAACGGTGTGAAAATCCGAAATACATTCAATACTTCTGAAATTGAACATGACCTACTGAACTGAAAGCAAGAAAGCCGACTAACAAGTTTATTTTGTCCTCTTGAGTTGTAAAATACTTACACTTCTCCTGCATACTATTTATATTAGGATTTTCATCCTAAGATTCAAAATACTTACAATCTCTAAATTCCATGTGGTTTTAAGGAAAAACGTAGCATAATGAAACAAAAGATCCATACAGGCTACACCAGCTAATCGGGATTAAGGGTTAGCATGTTAGTACACTTAAATTAGGTGCGGTGTTGCCAGGAGTGTTTAGAATTACTAGTTTTTCGGCACGTGTGTTGCACGTGTATGTCGAGTATTAAAATAAAATTTTGAGTAAATAAATATGCATGAAAGAATAATACAACTTTCTGTAAACAATCAATATGTACAGACTTGTTTGTCGAGGTCAAGATGAAGATTTTGAACCTACGAAGATGAACAATTAAATTTTTAATTAGATACATGTTTCTTTTTTACTAATTTTATTTTTATGAGGTATACACATGTAATAAAGTGTACCAATAATTCCTTATAGATGATATTCCTGATGTATGTTCCTTTGCCTCCCTTGAGAAATTCAATTCAAAAACCATGTCCTCTGCAACATGCCAAAATATTTCTTTCTTGAAATTTTAGTCCTTAAGATCATGCAACTCCGCTCTAAAAATTAAACTTGAGTCACTAAGTCTGGACTAGTTGAACTTTGAAAAATTCATCTTGGATCTCTACCCATCGAGTGTTATATGTCATCGTGTAAATAAATCTAATCTTCCAAAATAGTGGACCTGAGACATATCGTCCATACAAATGAGGAAAGCCATAGGCAGTCCTCTGGTCAAATATTCAAATATCTATGTTAACAACTCTTGCTTTTTCCTTTTTTTTAATCAAATTGTAATAGTGCAAAAATATATTACAGTTAATAAGGTCAAGAGTGTTAGACTATCTTTTTATAAACCTTAGTTTTAAGGAGATAAATGCTGTAGAATAAATGAAGTTGTTGCATCTAGAGCTCAATATGGAAAAGTATATTTCGAATAAGAAAAAGAACACTAAACTCCATGTAATATCTATGCTGATGTCATACCTTGTGCATGTTGTTCATTATCACACATCGAGGCAATTAAAGTTTAGCACGACTTGCTATGTGCGAGTAATAAAATAAATCAATTAAAGTCAGAATATGGTTAAAACCATCAGTAATAAAGTGATGCAAAAATTCAATTCTGTGCCTCTAGTCATTAAGAAAATTATCCTAATCAATCAATAGATAATACATAAAATGGTTTTGCAAAAACCTCGTCTGCATTGAGGCATCCAACTGGAAACTTGGGGTCACTCTCCTCAGTTATCTTTTTTCACTAACTTTTCTAAATTTTTTCCTTCGCCATCCCCGCTCAGCCTTACTCGTCATTTCTGTAAGATGGGGAACAATGTAAAAAGTTCAGTCCAGATGAATTTTGAAATCACAAGTGAACATGAAACCTGAAAAGAGGTGTAAAGATAAGACACGACTCTGATCATTCCATTTGACCTTAAGCAGAAGCTAACTCCAATCTATTCATAATGTTTATACATACAATAGTTGGAAAAAAGATGGCGCGATTGGAGTAAAGTCTTTTGGAAGATTTCATTGCAATTTAAAAGGAGAGTTGGAACGGACATTAGACCAAGGTGAGGGAGAGGAAAGCCCACGACTTAGACCAAGTCAAGTGCATCAAGGACGAGGATG